TGCCATAAAGGAATTTCTTCAAATTTGGCACAAGCATCTTTTTGGACTTGTAGATGAACTGATTAGATTTTGGTGGTCAAAGGTCAAGGTCAGTGACCTCACGTCTGTCCCATTCCTGTGAATTTGACTGGTTGACAGAGGCAAACAACCACATAGCAGTAATTCTAGTTTGATTTTCTATAGTTTATTGGTTGTATTTAGGTGGTTTACTCACATTTGTTTTCTCTGTGCTCTCACTTTTAAAGTGTAGCTATATTTTTATCATTTGGTTTAATGTTTTAAATGGATTTTATTTAGTTTTAATCACTTCTCCACAGGAGCTGCAGGGATCAAACCTCTGTGATCCACTTCACAAAAAAAACACACTCTCAGGTCTCCACATCAACCCCAGGATGTTTACTGTTGCCACGATGACCTGGGGGCCGTTAGCGTTGAAGAAGAGGCTATTTACTCAGTCATCGCCATGACGACAGGGTTGCATGCTGGACACCTCTGTAAGGTTGACAAAGAACAGGCTGACTGTCTGGAGGAGAGTTGGGGCTTTTCAGCCCAGGATTCAGACTCTCAGGCTTTATATAAAACTCATCTGCTGGGAACAACCTGATTGGCTGTTGGCTATTGGTCCAAATATAAGACAGTGTTGTTCTGGAAGTTAGACTTGAACCGAATTAAAGGTTTACAACCATGCTACAGTAGCAGCTCTGTGAGGGTGTACATAGCAGCAGTATTTAGGTAAATGCTAACATGCATCATAATTTTAAGATCCTGATGCTTAGCAGGTGTAATATTTATTGTGTTCACCATTTTATTTTAATGTGTTAACAAGCAAACATTTGCTACTAAGCACTGATGGGAATCCCATTAGTGATACAGGTCTTTGAACATAAGCCAAATTCCTGGATACATCAAAAATTTGATCTCATTATAGATGGAAAGTTACAATTTTGCATTTCATCCCAGGGGACAAGTGAATGTATCATATCTCAGGCTAATATTTGCTGAGACATTTCAATGAAGCCACAAAAGTCACAAAAGTGGTGGTGTTAGCGCAAGCGTCTCTAACACATGAGTAACCATTAGCTCACTCCTTGTTTCTGAGTAGCTATGGATTGGTGGTACAAACATTAAATAACACAACCTTCACTTAGCAAACCTGCTACAACTGCAGTCCAATTAAATACACAGGCATCCTGCCCTCCTCTGACATTAAATTATTTATTTGTTAATCAAGTGAATTATGCTGCTGTCAAGTTTGTTTGCATCAGTTACGCTGTGCAATGATGATAACATTTTTTCATAATGTTGCATTAAACGCTAAAAGTTTTTACTTACATGGACTGATATAAACTAAACATTTGCAGAGACAGGACGTATGTCAGCCACTTTCATTTTGTCAAACTAGCTCTCCATGGAAAAAGGCTGAAGACCCCTGCATTAGAGAAAAAGTCAGATCACCAGTCTTTAAACCAATTGTTCATTCTTTATTTCTATAGAAACCGAACAGAAATGAATTCAAGATGTTGTGAAATAACAACAAATCAGCAGCAGTTTGTCCAGAAACCACATCAGGAAGACTAGTTGTCCCAGTTTTACCGATCAAATATCCTTTCTTTTTATTGACTGGGCATTTTGGTGACACACACACTGTGGTTGAACAGCGACAATACATGGAGGAGGAGTGTTGAACATTGATTTGATGAGGGTAATGGAAAGAATGCATGACTCTGCTCAACCCGGATGACACACACACACACACGCACACACAGTGATGTGTAAACATCCTCTCAGTGGAGGAGGACCAGAGACTCAGAGCTGTGAGTTCAGATCCCTCAAACATCAGAAAAATGTCCCTTGGCGTTTCCTCTGAAGTGTAAAAGCTGTGAAGATAAAGGCTGATCAAATTGATTTTTACCATAACTGATGATACTGCTGAAGCTGCAGGACCTGCTTCTCATTCTTCTTCTGTTGTTCTATTTATAATAGTGGTGCTGAAGCTCAAAATTTTGCTGCTGTGCTGATTTTGTTGAGAATCAGCTCCAGTTTAATTTCAGCTTTTATTTGAGCTAGCTGTAAGAACTGTAACAACAGAGGTCTTAACTCAAGGTCAATGTGGGTTATTAGCTCATGGCTAACAGGGACTTAGCATAGACATGAACTGATGAAAGTGACATTATGCAGACTCCTGTGACTATGCTGACATGGAAAGTATAATTTGAGCTTGACAGGTCTGTTCAAGACTGGGTTGAAAATTGGCAGTAGAACTGGCAGATACAAAAAAATGAACACTAATATGGTTGACTCAGCTGGGTGAAAATGAACTAGATGTACACTTATTTGTATCTGCTGTTGCTTATGATGAGCTATGTAACACAGTTAATAAAACATTAGCTCATGGTTAGCAGCATCTTAGAGGGCCTGTTTGGTTCCATTCAAATTAAGTCTGTCAGTGCATTGTCTTTGTGCTGCTGCACAGCTGTCAGTCCATGTGAAAGTGACAGTCACTTCCAAGTGGCAGAACAACCATAGGACTTTATGATAGAAAATATGTGATTAAAGTATGTTTTAAAAAGCTAAACTACTGCTAAATTCCTCTGTTGATATGAATTGTTGAGTGTGCGGCCTCGTGATCTGTATAAGCAATGCATAGCCTACAATACAATTTGTACAATACAAGTGCAGGAATGTCTTTATTATTTATTTGTGTGTGTATGTGTGTGTGTGTGTGTGTGTGTGTCCTACACAGCTTGTGTCTTATTTGGCATTCCCCCAGCAAAAAGTGAGTAAATGTAGTGATGACACAATGTTGGAATTATGATATGATGACTATGAAATATACCTAAAAAGACTAATGGGCTAACATAAACCTGAGAGCTTTACTGTATCTGCATCTGAACACATTGTCACTGACCTGAACCTTATTTTAAAGGACATTACAAACATTTCAGCCCCTTTGGGGTGGGTTTCATTTACAAGCCCAGAGCAGAGAACACAGAAAATCAAACATCTCCCTGTGTTTATTTAATCTACACAGTTTCCTCTTTCTGTCTTTGGCTCAGTGTTCAAACCTCAGTACTGTAACTCTGCCTCTTTAGTCACACGCTCAGACACTGCCAAGACCCACAGGAATATAAACTGAACACACTCAGCCAGCAGTGGATGTGTAGGTGTGTGAGAAAGACTCTGGCTCCCCCTGCTGGCTGGATCCTGTCAGCTGATTGGCTTTGTTTTTAACAACTGGAAACCCATATTCCTCTAACTTGAGTTTACTTCTCCAAAACTCTTCATTCTTTATCATGTTGCAGCTCAGCACAACAATTAATCCAAAATGCATTAATGCAACTAAAACACTTCACACACATCTCAGGATCAACACTAGTACCAAAACACTGAGAGCATTTTTGTAACATGTGAGGACAGGACTTTTATTTTTATTGTCTTCTTTCCTTTATTTTATCAGGAGGTTCCACTGAGATCGATATGTTCGATATAAGGAAGATCTAATGCTGCAGAATTGCTGCTAAAACCACCGTCGGCTTTACATTACTGTTTCTGCACATGTTCGTTTAACAGGAGAACATCCTTCAGTATGTCCTCCATTTTCTCCGGTGTCAGTTTACGATTTAATGCATTCCAGGTCAATAGCTGACATTCCTGCAGACCAGTCACGTCAAGGTACCCCTTGTGAAAACCACCTTCATCCTTCAAAATAAAGCATACATTCATTTCAAATGCATATTTTATGAATTTATTCATACTATGTCGGGTTGTCCAGTTTAGCTGGAGCAAGATTAAAAAAAAATGAGTATAAACACACTCGTAGGATTAAATCGACCACAGCAGTGTAGACTGTAAAGGTGTGCAAAAGGTGACTTACCTTTTGAAACAAATGTTTTTCTGGCGAACATTTGGGAACAAACGTTTCCCTCTGTAATATGTGATTTTTTTAAAATTATTTATAATAAAAAAAAATCACAAGTTAGAAAGCTGAAAGTTGTTTGTTAATTCTACTTTTATTTTGAAAGTTTCCAATAGCTTTCCCTCTGCTTGTACATCTGCATCTTCAGCAGACCCAGTGGAGGTGTGTAGCAGAGACTGTCCGGATTTGTTAATCCCGAACTTCTCAAACTGCAACAGGATGAACAGCGCAGGTAGGAACCGTAACGCACCGCGGGACTCCGCCTCACTGTGCACACTCAGCTGCTGAAGAACACACAGGCAGATAAATAACCTTTTTTTTATAAAGAAAAAAAAGTTTCACGCAACCTTAGCGCGATTCAAATCCATCTTTAGCTTTTTAGTGTGCGTTTGGTCCGGGTTTAAAGGGCCTAAGAGCAGCAGTTTTAACTTTGCTTTTGGTTGGACAGAGAATCAGGGTGGACCCGCCCTTTGTTTTCACTGACTGCTATCTATCTATCTGTCGATCTACTGAAATAGTCTCAAAAGCAAATGAAGTTGGTTTATATTATGATCCTAACCGTGCCTGCGTTATGCCACATTCTGCCTGCTGAATAAGTAGTCCACATATTTAACATTGTAAGAAAATGAAGAGACAAGTGAAGGTACAATAGAGTGGCCTATTGGGATATGAAATAAGATATGGGACATGAGAGGCAAAATATGGAGCAAAATGTGAGCATGGACATTGTAATGTTTATGTAACAGTATAGTCCTGCTTTCTTCTCCTTCTCTACCTACCTTTTTCCTTCCCCACATCAAAGACAAGTATTGCACAAGAATAGACATGTCTAAGAGAAAATTTGACACCAGCAGAAACCAGGTTTGTGTGTGTGTGTGTGTGTGTGTGTGTGTGTGTGTGTGTGCGCGCGTTAATCCAGTCCTTGGGTGTTGACCCTGTAGGAAGAGGGTGTTAACGTAGTGCTTCAGATGCTTCTGTACCCTTTGCCAGAGGGCAGAAGGGTAAAGACGATATGAGAGGGCTGTGTGAGGTCACTTATAATTCTTTTGGTTTTGGAAACGCAGCGTGTGGTGTAAATGTCCAAGGTTGGAGGGGAGAGAGACCTCGATGATCTCCTCGGCTGTCCTCACTGCTTCCATGCCCTCTTGTTTTATTCTGTCTCCTTCACTCATTTGTTACTTTTCTTTTCCTTTTTTGCCTCCTCCTCACATTTTCTCCTTTCTTTTCCTCCCTTTCTTCTCCCTGTCTGTCTCCTCCAGTTCTTTTCTACCTCCTCCTTCTTTGTCTTTCCTTTTCTTCTCTGCCTCCTCATTTTGTTTCAACCTCCCTTCCTAATCCATCTCCTTTCCTCTTTTATGTTGCCATCTTCTTATTCTCCCCTTCCTTACCTTACTCCCCAAAATGTTTCCCTTTCCTATCTCCTCCTCTCCCCTTCTATTCTTTTCCTTCGTGGATGCTTCTGTACAGCACAACTTACAATAAATGCAAGAACAAAAGCTGTGTTAGCAGACATTGCTAGGAGCTGCGGCAGAAATCCTTAGAGGAATTTATTAATGGCAGTGGGACGGCACTAAGTGCTGGATGGGGTGTGGTAGCACAGCCAGCCGTGCTGTCTCTTGTCCGGTCGTCAGTTTATTCCACCACCGAGGAACCAATCAGAGAGGAATCTTGACCGAGATGATAAGCGACCACAGCAGCCTCAGAGTGACAAGGCAGAAACTGACCAGAAGAGATCAGATCAGCTGGAGTTTGTAATGGAAAAGTTTGATGCCTGCATATCTTGCAGAGGTTCAACAGAATTAAAATGGCATGAAATGGCAATCAAACTGTGATTCTATAAAAGATGTTCTCATTAAAAACAGCTGAGAATTTCTGTTAAAGGATCCCATTCCTGATATCAACCGCATTTTAATGCTCAACACCAGTGTTATGTCTGCACATTAAGTATGAAGCCACTGCCAAAGCCAGTTAGCATTGCATAGCATAGCATAAAGACTGGAAGCAAGCCAGGCTCTCTCTCTCTCTAGAGAAAGAGAGAGACTATAAATCAATAGCCTAGCACATATACCACATACTTTATAACAAAACCACAACATGTTGTTTTTATAATTTAAATTTTATATGGATTAAACAAACATGATATAATGTGCTAATCAGTGAACTTCAGAGGTGCTGGTGGCTGATGTTACCTTTGGAGAGAGCCATGCTAACTGTTTCCAATCTGTATGCTAAGCTAAGATAATCAAATGAATATTTATCATACAGACAGGTGACACATAAAAGGTAAAACTAGCATAAATGGTCCCAGTAAGGTGTTGGCCACCACATGCCACCAGAACAGCTTCAGTGCTCCTTGGCATTGACTTTCCAAGTCTCTGAACTCTACTGGACAGATGAACACCATTCTTCCAAAAGATATTCTCTCATTTCTAATGATGGTGATGGAGAGCATTGCCTAACACGTCAGTCCAAAGTCTCCCATGTGTTCAGCTGGGTTGGCCACAGCATGTGATTCATGTCATTTTCATCCTCATCAAACCATTCAGTGACCTGTCGTGTCATCCTGGAAGTGACCACTTATTTATTGAGGTTTTTCCTTTAATTGCTTTTCTTTAAATGCCTATATATTTTCTTTAAAAGACGTTCCTTTTTCAAGAACCACTTACCTAATTGTTTTCACCTATTAGCCTGATTAGATTTCCTAATTTGTCAAACTGTACACTTTGGGCCCTAATTTGAACCATGCATTGAAAAACTGATGTTTTTCAGTTTTGTTTTAGCTTTAAACTTCTTGGGTCTAGGGTAAGAACTGTTTCTTGTTGTTGTTTATTCCAGCCATGTATCCCAGTGGACCTGCACCCAACGTGTTTGGTAGTGTGCCCGGGAGCACGTAGGTGCAGCTCTTTCTAGAACATTTCCTGTTGCTGAGGTTAACAAAACCTTGCTTTTGCTGGGGCAAAAGGTTATCTGCTCCCTCTTGTACCCATGAATCCTGCAGCTGCTTTCCATTTCCTGGTCCTGTATGCTAAGCTAAGCTAACCAGATGTTTTCAATTATTAGCCTGCTTGATCTCTGAATCTGTGAGACTGTACACACTGAGCTCTAGGTTGAACCAGGAAATAAAGATGAGTTTTAGTTCTTTGTAGCTTTAAATGATTTGATTGTTTGCTTGAGACCTGTTTCCTGTTGTTTATTCCAGCTGTGTATCCCCCTCTCAATGTCCCTGCAGCCAATATGTTTGGCAACGTGCCCGGCTATGAGGCAGGATCAGGTACAGTACGTGGAGTCCAGATCCAGGAAATAAAGATGAGTTTTAGTTCTTTGTAGCTTTAAATGATTTGATTGTTTGCTTGAGACCTGTTTCCTGTTGTTTATTCCAGCTGTGTATCCCCCTCTCAATGTCCCTGCAGCCAATATGTTTGGCAACGTGCCCGGCTATGAGGCAGGATCAGGTACAGTACGTGGAGTCCAGATCATAACTCTTCGCAGAACATTCATGTTGTTAGATTAAATTTGTTACTTAGAAAAAAAATTGGATGTTCCTTCAAAATTTGTTGTTGCTACAGGAGGTTATCTTCCCCCTCCCATGCCTGTGGAGCCTGTAACCCCGCCCCAAAGAGGCTCTGTACCTGACAGCTGGAGGTAAGACTTGATATCACCTGTTTCACTGAGCTGCCCATCCACCTGTAACAACCAACCAGTCACATGAGTGCTGCTCTGTGTCTGTTGGATGTGGAAAGGCTGCAGTCTGGTTGTTCTGCTTAAATTCATAATGTGATTCTTGATGGTTTGTGTGTGTGTTGTAGTATCCCCTCTCTGTCAGAGGATGTAGCTCGTGAGGCGTTCAAGAATTTTGTATCATCTCAGTGCTGCTACAGTAGCTCTCCGGCCAACGAGGGAGTCATCACCAAAATGGAGCCATACAACACGTTCAGGGTGCTGTGATGTTCATATTCTTGGCAAAACTCTTACTATTATTATTATTATTATTACTGGTGTGTTTGTTACTTCAGGATGCTCCAGTCATATCCTGGTATCATCAGCTGAAGGCAACAAAAAGGTGGTCTTTAAGTTGTTCAGCAGTCTTCAGCTGTTTTTTTTTTTTCCTTTAGTCATGGAGTCAGTGCCAAAACTAAAGGAAAACAATAAAGATTATAAAATGAAAAGGAAAAACAAATGATCTGCACTGGGTTATGCCCCTTTAAGTTAAGGTTATTAGTGATGTTACGCTCAAAGCAGACTCCTCCCTAAATCCACTGATTTTAATATAACAATTAATTTTAACTAATTACTGGTTCTGTTCCCGGGATTATTCTGTTTATTAGGTGTATTTTGAACACTGGTACCTCTGTCAGCTATAATGTTATTAACATTGCACATGTAATGTCTTTTGTTACATGTGTTTTCTGTTCTGTAGTACCGACTGGAGACATTCACTGAGTCCAGGTCAACTGAGTGGACCCACAAACCTCATGAAGGTACACACACACACACAAACATTTGTTCCACCTAAACCTAATTCTTAGCTTTAGACATCCACTGAAAGTGGTACAATTGCTTCTTCAACATTTCATTGCACTGCGCGAGTCATCGACCTTGAGTGTAAACCAGTAGGTTACGTCAGTTATGAAGAGTAAGTAGAGTAAAAAGATTGGATTGTTGAGTTATTTGTGCCGACTTCATTGGTAACTTTCTGTCTTATAGGAAGTTTAACTGCTTGTTTCATGTGGCCTTTAACTCTAAAACCCAATCTGAACAGTGCAATGATAAAGTGATGGCAGGACCTCACTCTAAGGGTGCCCAACTAGTCCTTACATGGACACACAACAGCACGCACACGTGGTAAAAACAATAGAGCTGTTGGTTTGCAGAATTTAAGTACTGGTCTCAATCTTCAACATTCAAAAGCTGATATTTAACTGCTGAAAATTAGAACATAGTTGTATTATCACTCTCACAGAGCAGGAGGACTGAGTTATCTGGATACACTTAGATAAAGCAGTTAAAGTTAAAGCAGCTATAATCAATATTTTTATAAGAATTTATCAAATGACACCATTAAAACCATGTGACTGTAAAAGAGGTGTTGACCCTTGACAAATCAGGAAAAAAAAAATATGATCTGACAATTGATATAAAGTTGAGGTGTGTGTGATGTCTCCTGACAGGTGAGATGGCTGACTTCAACACCCAGACAGCCCCTCTGCCCTGGGAGATCAAGGCCACACCCCCCAACCTCTTCACCAATCACAAGCAGGAACTCCGGATTCCCTTTACCTCCTCTGTTAAGGTGATTGGTTAACAGGAGCTGTCTGTCAGAGATTACTTTGCTGCTGTTGTTACATGAAATTAAGTTAATTAACTTCCCCTCCCTCCTCACTGAGTTCTGAACTGTTGATCCAAAAGCCAGGCAGAGACCTTTATTGTTGATGGGTAAATGTAGTTTAAAGTCCACATAGTCAAGGAGAGGCATGCCGGTGTAGCAATTAGCACTGTTGCCTCACAGCAAGAAGGTTCTGGGTTCAAGCCCCAGCTGATCCTATGTCTTTGTGTGCAGAGTTTGCATGTTCTCCCTGATATTGCCTTTTAATAAATGTATTCAACATTATTTTTATTGTGTGTGTTTAGGACTGCCATACCTGCGTTGCCACAGGGAAGGTGCCGTGTGATGGGTGCAAAGGAAGTGGACATGTAAGTAGTCAATCACTGATAAAAAAAATAAAAAAAAAGTGAAAGTGAAGATTTAAAAAATAATAGAAGCTGAAAATGTGTTAGATTCATAAACAGATATTTGCCATTTTGATATTCCTGTGTGTGTGTGTCTGCAGAAATCGTGCAGCATGTGTAACGGTTCTGGGAAGAAGAATGAGGAGCACTGCACTCAATGTGATGCCACAGGCAAACAGAAGTACTGGGCCAGGGGGGTTTATTTGTTCTTTGATCCTCACATGAAAGTCTCCTTATATTTGTCTTATTTGAGCAGATTAAAAGGTCAAAATGAGTAAAACTAGGAGGGAAACTAGGAAGGAGAATGTGTTTTGGCTCATCTTTTTCATAATCTAATGACCTCTCAGATGTACCACTAGACCCCTGACTTTAGGATTAAGGTATAATCCATCAAATTTCAGTTCTGGATGTGTCAGGGACAGCGTGCGAAGCTGCCCACAATGTCGAGGGCAAACTCAATTATAAAGCCAGATGAGTAAAAACAGAACACTGACTGTTTAATAAGAGCACTGGTCAGACAAATACGATACACAATGCAGGAGTCTGATTCAACAAGTAACACTCAGGTCGATAATACAGCTGAGATGAGACTGTAACAGGAAGTAGTGTCAAAATAAAAGCATGAGACCAGAAGCAGAGGGGATAGAATCATGATGATTTGGCACCACATGTGGTCACTGGTGGTATCCGCAGATGTTTTAAGTTTAATGTTTTGAGTGGTCTTTAGGGGGGTTCTAAGAGCTTCTAAAGCCTTAGTGGTTTCCTCTTGTTTTCTGATATCTCTCCATAAATAACCAGAAGCAGCCATGATGATGTAGTGAACAGAATATCGACTTAGTGTTAAGTTTGTTGTATTAGTGTATATTTTTTTTATTTAAAAAATGGTGGTATCATATTTAAGCTCCAAATTCATTCAGACTAAGCCACTATAGTTCAAACAACTGCGGTTCCCCTGTGATGGAAGGAAGTCAAATTGTGACTTGTATGACAGGTCTGGTTGGAATTTGAGAATGTCACAAATTCTCTTAAATGTCTTTTATATGCCATTTAAGAAAAAAATGTGTTCACATGACTGGTTCTTGCATGAAGCCCAAGGTCTGTCCTGAAGGAAGGAAGTCCATCAAAAATCAAACAACTAAAGAGATGTGTGTTTGTGTGTCTGTGTCTGTGTGCAGGTGTACAATGTGTAATGCTCAGGGAATGAAAGAGTGCCAAACCTGTAAGGGAAAACAGCGATTACTCACCTTCATCCAGCTCAAGGTGGAGTGGTGAGTACTGATAAACCACAGTTGGGGGGTCCTCGAGTAATTTCAAATGGTGCTTGAAGAGGTTCCAGTGGTCATTGAACAAATTTTAAAAGTCCTGAAAGATGTGACATGGGTCCTTGAAAAGGTTCCTGGGTTCTTGAAAGAGGTTCTTGAGGAATTTGAGGAGGAGACAGAGTTTCCAGGCATCATCTACACATAGTGGCTTTAATGTAGTTTCATATAAAGTGAATTGAATGGACAGTAGTGACTTAGCGCTCTCTGGTGGAACAAAGATAAAATGCATGGTGTAAGCTTCAACTAAAAATACAGACTACACTCCTTCCAACTTTTAAAAACTGATTAAAATATGTAAATACCATTCTTCATGTGTGTATGTTTATGTGTTTGTGTATCTGTGTGATAAGGACTAACCACGTGGAGGACTTCATGGTGGAGCAGAACTCTGGTCTGAAGGCTGATGAGCTTCACTCAGCGAACGGGAAGGAGCTGCTCAAGATCAGCCAGTACCTGGTAGAGAGACTTAAGACTCAAGATTTTTATTTACCATTTATGCATAAACAGACAGTCTAGACATACACATATACCCTAAGCTTAACAGTAAATTAAACCACCTAACCTACCCTTTTCTAAGCTTAACCTTTAAATAATTCTTAACCTTCAAAGATGGTTTGGAAGTTGTGAGGAACAGCCTCAATGTCCTCACAGAAATGTCTTCACTAAAACAATTTAAACTAAATTTTGCCCACTCAACCATAGAAAGACATACACACACTGCTCTTTCTAAATGTACACTCTTAGGGTTTTCCACAGGATAGTGTCAATGTAATTATTTCTTCTGATGTTAGTGGAGTTGCTGTTTATTTCAGGTAAGACTGGAAACTTCCTCTAGAAAAGGTGCAGGAAATTCAGACTCTCCTCTCTTCATTATGTTCCTTTAAAAACCCATCCATCCATCCATCTTCCTCTGCTTATCCGGAACCGGGTCACGGGGGCAGCAGTCTAAGCAAAGATGCCCAGACTTCCCTCTCTCCAGACACTTCCTCCAGCTCCTCCGGGGGAATGCC